GCGAGGCTCCGGGACGGGCTGCGGGGGTGGCTGGGAGGGCGCGCGCCCGGAGGATGCCCACCCGTCAGCGGGCAGGGGCGGGCCTCGGGGTGGCACCCATCCTGCGGGCATCGATTTGGTTGCGGGAAGGGTGCAGGTAGTGATGTGTGCGACCCCCACCTCCTGGTACCGGGGAGACTGTGCGCAGTGGTTCTGTGGCTCTGTCCGCTTGTCCCTCAGGCGCCACCAGCTTCTGGACTCTGGACCTCCTAGGAGGCTCGGGGAGTGAGCCGTTGCCATTGGAACTAGTGATGAGCAGTCAGGAATCTAGATCCGGAATCTAGGTACTGTCCCTTCTGGCCTGAGGACTGGAGAGTGGGACCGAGTGCGAGGTTCCAGGCTGTGCTGTTTGCTGTTTGATGGGCTTTCCCTGCCTCCCATCCAGGACCTAGATCCGTGTTCGTGGTCCCTAATGAATTAGCAAAACCTCAATCTGGAGAAGAGGGAAGTAGTTCCTGAGTGGCTGGAGCTCAAAGGAAGGCTTTCTTGCCTTCACTCATAGGCGATTTCCCTCCCTGGAGAGCTGGTCTCCTGAGACTTCTGCCTCTACCTTATTTCCTTTGTCTTTATTCTTTGCTTCTTTTTGTTTCCTTTGCTGCTTTTTGTTTCCTTTGCTTCCTGTTCCTTCCACCTCACTCCACCCTCATAGACCAGGCCTGGTGCAGGAAAGATGGACCTTGCTAGCTGCTCTTGGCAAACCCAGTTAGTAGTGTAGGCTTTTCCTGATTTGCCCTTTGGGAACCCACTACAAGGTGTTTCATTAAAAAGTGTAAAAATTGGTTCTGTTAATCCTGCAACTACTACCGGTAGCCTCAGTTTTTGATCATTTCATAGAAACTCCTTACCCCTGTCTCATCAGCTTCAGCTTTTTTTTTTTTTTTTTTAAAGATTTATTTATTTGTGCATACAGAATTGGGGTACAGGCCAGAGGCTCAGGGGCGGTGAGAGGCTTCACCAGAGACAGAGTGGGGAGCAGAACAGGCAGATGGACGAAGTACACTGCTGAGGGAAGCAGTGGGCGGGTCAGGAGAGGTCTGGCTCGCCATGTGGTCTCCTCCGGGGCAGGCGGCAGGCGGGAATCGAACTCACGCGGAAGTGGCCTCAGATTCTCAGTGCTGTGCTTTAACCCGCTGCGCCACCAGGGAGGGCCAGCTTCAGCTTTTATCTTAACAAGAAAAATGGGGCTAGAGCCCCCCCCCCACCCCCAGTAAAAATGCATTTGCCTTTGCTGTGTTTCAAGTCAACAGAAGAAGTGCCTTGCCTGGCCCTGCTCTTGAGAGGTAGACTATCCGCAGTTAAATCCTCAAGTGACCCCAAAAGTTGTAAAGAGGAAAACGTTTTTGGAAACAAAGCTCTCTTTGGATTAGCAAGGGCAGTGCATTGGATCCCAGCTTCATCTGTAGGGTTTCCAGATCAGCCCACACCTACCCCCGGGCAGCAGATAGCACAGGTTTGCAAGATGGCTGACTTGGCCTCGGAGAAGACTTGAATTGGTTTTACAAAAGACTTGGCATTTTGTGTCTTTGGGCCCATGACTGCAGAGTAAACAGACGTCAGATCAATAGCATTTGGACCTGGGATTGGCAATCAGAACTTATTTTAGTAAAATCTAGGCTAACCGTGTTTTGATACACCAGCTCTGTTGACTTTGTTTTTTTTAAAGTTGAAGCGATGAAATGCTTAAACTTAGTTTAAATAAATTGTTATAAAATGTATAACAAATATGGGCCAAGTCTGTGTTTTCTTAAAAGTTATAGCTTGTATTAGTTGATCACAATGTGGAAAAACAACTGTAGCTAATATCTGTAGCTTGGAAAAATTAGCAACTATCTAGTTGTAGATTCTCAGGATGGTTTTATTCTGAAACCAGCTGAATTTCGGGTACCTGAAGAGACTTTTCAGAAATTCAGATTTTAAGAAAGTGGGACTGGAGAACTCTGTTTTCTAAAATCACCAGGTATTCCCTTAGCTTTGTTCATTGCCCACTAATGGGTAGTTCTCGTGATCAATGTCTATTCTTCATCTGTCATGGAGAACTGTAGAGACAAAGCAAAGCTTCTGTATCAGTGCCTGGCCATCCTGAGTGAGTCCCTCCTGAGCCCACTGTGCCTCTGGAAGGTCTCTGGCGCCCACTTCTCACCGGCGTCTAGAGTTTGCTTTTGGCCGTAGCACTGAATGGTGAGACTTCTGATGACGTGCAGTCCTTGTGCCTGTGGCAGAAGTAATAAGCGAGAGGAGAGAAGCAGGGCTGGGTTTGGCTTGTGAACCTTTTAAATACCTAACCCATACTTACCACCTTTCTCAACGTTGTCCCCTGTTTACGTCTGAAGTGGCTGAAACTCTCCTGTTAAATGTTGTAGTTCCCAGGTTGATGTGATAGAATGAACATCATCTTTCTCTTACTCATTTGCAATGCCCTGGGCAACTGTCTTCTCCACACATACCCGTCACCCCCTCCTTCCTGCTGTCCCTTCATCAAAACCCAGTCCATTATGTCCTGCCAGCTCTTGCCTCCACGGTGGGCCTCATCCTCACGGTCCACACCCCTCCGTGGGCTCCGTCAGTCTCTGGCCATTACCTGTGTGCAGGTGTCTACGGATCTTCCCTCCAGCAGGTCTGTTTGACAGTCAAGGTGACTAATCCGTATACCCACCAGTGCCTGATATCAAAGTTTATAACTCAGCCGAAATCTGCATTTTTAGACATTTTAAAGAACTTTGGAATAGTCATCTAATGATTACAACTGTCATTCTAGGTTTCCTGAGAATGCTGTGATTCTCAGAATCTAGAATCCCAGCTTCTCAGTAGCATGAGGCTGGCCTGAGTCTTTCAAAGGAGCCACTGTGTGCACATCGCCAGGCACCCGGGGCTGGCGCTGCACTGGCACACCCAGGCCGGGACATGTTCTGCCACTGTCATTAACGTGACCTCACGACCCTGTGACTGACTCACTTTACCTCCAAGTCACCCGCCTGTGGGAGATTTCTGCATTCATGAACTAACGAGCAAAATACTTCCCCCTCCAACAACATATTGCACATTGAAAACAGTTAGATCCCAAAGACCTAGTGGGCCAATAACCAGTAATCAGGGTGGGCCTTACCCACAGATGCGTGCCTTTGACCAGAGAGTGCATAGTCTGATTTTTATTAAGTCAGATGAAGTAGATCCATTTTTTCTAAATTAGGTGTGGATGTAATCTGATACTGGCATCCCCTGTCATTTTCATTTTTGTATCCAGCAACCAGGCGCATCTCAAAACAAGTTCTTGATCTGCATGTGGCCCTTTCTTTAGCTGAATCATCCCTCCTAAAACTTGAATCTCTTTTGAGCAAAACACAAGGGGCAGTTTATAACTCTCTCGGAGCGCCACGGAGCCAACACTGACAGCCCTGCCATTGACTCCGCATTGCGGGGTGCAGGCTGTGTCCCCGGGGCCCCAGCAGCAGCCCCGCCCTTCATGGTCCATCCTCACCCTGCATCCTGGTCATCTCACAGTCAGGGATCGCTCTCTGCCAGAAACAGCTGCTAGTTGACTCAGAGAAGGAGGAGGGAGTCACAGCAAAGCCTGTTCTGCACCCCAAGTTACCTACCAAGATCCCAGTTCATCAGTAGAGCTGGGGTGTCAGTACACCACTCCTGCTTAATAATTTGTCTTATTGGTTCGACTCTTGTATTAGACTCAAAATTCATAACATACCAAGTAACTTTTCACCTCCTTTTCTGTCTTTGTCCAAAGAATACATAATCTGATTTTTGTGGTACAAAAAATGAAGTGGATCCATTTTTTTCTAAATCAGTTGGAATCTGGCATCGGCATGTTCGGTCACATGGTAGACTAACACTAACGTTAGTGTGCGCACACTAGTGCAAGAGCCGATGTCCAGGCGAACAGTGTCACATGTGTGTATACGCGTGTGCACATTATACGCGGGAGCTCTGGGCGCTGGCACTTCGTGGTAATTACTCTCGTGGTCGGTCTGCTTGAAGGTAGATGCTATATACCTTGTTTGAAACTGATTCAGCTTGGTAAAAGTAGATTCAAGTGTCAGCTTCCCGAACTTTTCGGAATACCTTGGATATTCCAGCCACGAGGACGTCCTTTAAAGAAAATCTGACTTAGCTTGTAAGCACATCATCTGCTCCCTGAGTGAAATAAACTGTCTGCTTCTCCTTAGGGGCAGGAACCCTCCTACTACAGCCAGGAAGACACGAGTTTCCATTCAGCTTTCAGCTGCCTTCTGAGTAAGTGAAACGTTGTGACATTTTGAATTTGAATTTCTGATAAACAATGAAGATTTTTTTATCTTTTTTTGTTTTTTTCCTTGTGGAACGATCTGTCTTTTGAGTGTCCCCAGCCCAGGCTACAGATGCCGTTGGGGACATCTGTATAAAGACATTTCAAGAGTCTTTATCCTGGCTTTATTTAACTGAAAAATGACCTCAGTGAATCTCTTCGGTTTGTTTCAGGCCGTTGGTAACCTCCTTCACCGGGAAATATGGAAGTATTCAGTACTGTGTGAGGGCGGTTCTGGAACGGCCCAAGGCCCCCGACCAGAGCGTCAGGCGAGAGCTCCAGGTGATCAGTCACGTCGATGTCAACACCCCAGCATTACTAGTAAGTTCTTCCACCTGCACTTCCTCTTCCCCCGTCTCCCAGAGGGGTGCCACATGTGGCCATTTCCACAGTCGTCTGGCCTGTCAGTTTCTGAAGAGTCCTGTAACCCATAGGCATTTGCTATAAATATGTGATTCTAGGTTGAACAAATTAGTAATTGTGTGTGTTAATACTATTGATTATGTCCCTGTTGTTTAAGAGCTGCTTTTGCCAAAAAGTTATGCAGGCTTGAAATGCATTAATGAGGCTTAATAATAATAACATGCACACAGAAAGTCGTTCCTTTTACCAGTGCGGCCACATTCAGAGAGCTGTGGCGTTCCCAAGTCCTCGGTAATAGCAGGCTGAGGAGCGTAATTACGGAAGAGTATCAATCAGGCACAGCCTGCTATTGAAGCGCAGCCCATTGTGCTGGAGGCTTCCGTTCTGCGTGTCATTTTCCCGCATTAAGCAAGTGCGTGCAGCTGCCGTGGGGCTCCTTTCACTTATCATTTCCTTATGACAGATTTGGCCACATTAAAGCATTGAACTTCTAATCATCACCAGAAAAACTGTAGCCTGATAAGAAAGATGAGGCTATAAGTAACAACAGAATAGGCAAGATGGGAGCTAATGAGCTGGATTCTTTTATCTACACCCATATTATCAGAATAATATAAAATTATACCTTGTACTTTCATGATAGTTACCAGGACCTAATGGTTCTTCATTTCAATATGAATGAATGATTCTTTACTTCACAGACCATACTGGGATAATTTAAACTTCCCATCATGATGCTGGTGTTACAAAGATGAATTTGTAGCATTGCCGATTTCCTTTTCTAGCCAGTGTTTTTACAGAGAAGAAAATAAAGAGAACCAGGAGTTCAAAGTTGTCAAACTCTATTTTCACACAAAATTGAAATAGGGTATTCTGGAACGCTCACCTTTAGCCTGTGAAGATGTGACAAAGACACCCTGGTTTCCTTGTGGCCATGGCCACGCCCTGTGTCATCCCCAGCTGACCTCACTCACAGCTCCTTCTCAGCACCCACTTACAGCCGGTTTTGCTCATCGATGATGTTAAATATCTAGTCTTAAAAAAAAAAAAAAAAAGCGTACATAGAATTGAGAGGTTTACTACTCTTTCTAAACTAGTTACAACCATTGTGGCAAATGCTTTAAAGGGTTATTTTGATCAGAAAGATATTCTTTATTGTTTTTTTCTGTAAGTTAAAGAAAAAATTGCATCTCGGGGGTTTTAAAGGGCTTTTAGTTAGTGCATGTTGTGGTCACTAGGCTAGGCATGTTAGTTGTGCTGCCATTTTATAAAACTCAAAAACCAAAGGTAATGACACACACTTGAAATTTTGAAAGAGAAATTTTAAAGGAAAAAAGAGCATTTGCTTGCTCCACATTTTATATACTAAGACAAATAGTACATTCTGGCTATCAGTCTCCATACATTTCTCTTGAGCTGGTCACACTTCAAGTGTTAAATAGACAAGTTAGGGCTTGCCACTGCAGTTTCCGGTGGCTCTTGGAAGGAATGACCTGTCATCCCCAGAAATGTGAAGGCTGTGGGTAAAAAATGAGGGCATCACGGTTGTTTGAATCAAAAAATTCACCTTAGATTTTTCTGACAAATACCTGAGCTTTAGTGCTTTGTGTTTTGATTATTTTTTCCTGATATACCTCATAAAGATAAGGAAAGCTGATGGTTTTTTGGTGAGGCAAGTCTTGACAACTGTTTTAATAAAGAAGAAAATAATTTTAGGATCAGTGAATTTTCTAGAATGGCTTCATTAAAGTTGTTTTATGATTTGACATTTTCAAGACCCCTGTATTGAAAACGCAAGAGAAAATGGTCGGCTGTTGGTGTTTCACTTCTGGGCCTGTCTCGCTGAGTGCCAAAATCGAAAGAAAAGGTTACTGTAATGGTAAGTGAAACGCTTGAACGTCCAAATGGAAACTCACTCATTCATTTTGTTAGCTGATTTTAAGTAATTTTAAAGAGCATGCATTGGGATGTATGGACTCTGCTGTTTGGAAACATAAATCATAAACTTGTATCTTAATGCAAATAATCGCTATTTAAACGGTGCTTAGTGGATAGGTTGAGTCCAGGGCATGCCGCTCTGCTCGTCCAGTCCTAACAGCAAAACTAGCCTGGAAGAGCGGGGAAACCCCAGCATTTAATTTCAGTGTTGCAAAAAGAACATCAGCACAGCGTGATCAGAAGGGAGCGGCGGCCGGCAGACGCAGCCCCCGCGGGGCCGCGCGCGGGGCCGCGGGCACCAGACCGGCGGGCGCAGTACGCTAGCGCCTTTCACAGCCAGGTTGGCGGAGGGCCCGATTCTGAACAGGCGACGCCCCCTCCCCGCCCCGGCATGTGGGAAAGGCCAGGAGGGGCGGCTCGCCCAGCAGCACTTGCCTGCCGCCCCGTGGTTCTTCGCACCTTGACATTGGCTCGAGCTGGGCCGGTGCTGCGCTGCTCGGTACTGGCGGGCTCGTCCGTGGCCTTTCGCACTTAACACGGCCCGGACATGCCGACGGGCGAGCCTTGACTTTCATCAGTACTGACTGTCCTGAGGACTGGTAGCTCACTGTCACGTTAGAAAAGTGAGTCATTAGAAAACGGTATCTGCTCTGTCGGTGATCATTTTCATTTCTCTGACTTGGATTTCAGTTCTCCAACAGGGCTTCTCCATGTGTTAAAGGATGACATTGGGAAACAGCCACGTTTCTTTTAAATAATATAATAGTTTATTTTTACATCATTTTGTGCATGTTTCCATCGCAGTGGTAATCCCCTCATCACCAAATCACCCTGTGCCATCACCACAGTCCAGTGCACTTCCCTCTTCCCACTGTTTTTGATCCCATTCCCCACTCCACCCCCACAAAATGTGTCTGGTATATAGCTGTTCGTTATTATTATTTTCTCCCCTGCTGTTTTATACTCCTGCTATGAGTGAAACCATCTGGATTTTTCCTTTTCTTTCTGGCTTATTTCACTAAGCATGATCCCTTCCAGCTCCATCCATGTTGCTGCAAAAGGCACGTGTGTATCTTTTTGGCTGCTCAGTAATATTCCATTGTGTATGTGGACCTCATCTTTTTAATCCAGTCATCCACTTTTGGACATTTGGGTTGTTTCCATGTCTTTGGGGAAATGCAACTTTTAATAGGTGAGGCCCCCACGCCTCTGTGGGGAGGACTTCCAAGTCTCTGAAGGTGGCTCGTTTTCCTTTCAGGAGAAGCCATTCCCATCTACGCAGAAATCGAGAACTGCTCATCTCGGCTGATCGTTCCCAAAGCTGCCATTTTCCAAACCCAGACATACCTGGCTAGCGGGAGGACAAAGACCGTCCGGCACATGGTGGCCAACGTGCGGGGGAGCCACATCGCGTCCGGGAGCACCGACACGTGGAACGGAAAGACCCTGAAAATCCCGCCTGTCACCCCGTCCATCCTGGATTGCTGCATCATCAGGGTGGATTATTCCTTAGCTGTAAGTGAAGCTCTTCGTCAATGTAAAATGCGTGGGACAGAGCAGTAGCTGGCACCCTGTTCCTGTGAATATGCACAGTAACCCCCAAAACGGTGGCATTTCGTGTCGGCGTGGCAGCGAGTTGTGGATGCAGGAGGATGGGCTTTTGCTTTTAGTCAGAAACTGTCTCCCTCGGGTTTAAGTCATTAACACAAATGAATTGAGGTGCACCGAGGGGCACTCGTTAAAATATATGGAAAGTGTCTACAAGATACTTAGTTATTTATGGCCACGGTGGCCACTTACAGCGAAGTGTTAAAGCCACCGTACCGCGTCACAGAATAGTCACTGTGTCGTGCTCTTCATTTGGTGGGTTTGTCGTGGTCCTGGGTCAGGACAGTTTGTATCGGACTGGCAGACGCTTTTGTCACTGAAGAATCAGCCAGTCCAGCGGCCCGCTGTGAGGCGTGACGTTGTTTTCTCTCTCTCTCGCTATGGATCAGGTGTACATTCACATTCCTGGTGCTAAAAAGTTGATGCTGGAGCTGCCCTTAGTCATTGGCACAATCCCCTACAATGGTTTGGGCAGCAGAAACTCCAGCGTGGCCAGCCACTTCCTCATGGACATGAGCTGGTGGACTCTGACTCTGCCAGAACAGCCTGAAGGTAACGTGACCGGTGGGCAGCTGCCTCTTCCAGAGTGAAGTCCTCCTCCCGAAGTCCGGGGCACAGGCCTGTAGGGTGGGCGGCACCTCGACCACTCGCCGCCGCCGCGGTCCTCAGCTCTTCTGTCACAAAGGCGCTGAAAGCATCCTTCTTCAGAAGGCGCTGAGGTTTAAGCTCCCCATGACGCAGCATTGCCGTTGGCAGACTGGGGGTCACCTCTGCGTCTCCCCATTCCAGTTCTAGTCAGATTGCCAAGTAGAGCGACGTGGGGGTTTTCGGGCAGCCACTTCCCAACACTGCCTGGTTCGCCGAGACCACCACACACGTCTCAAGCGGGGAGACTATGACCAGTGTCAGTAGTTTAACAAAAGAGAAATCTATAGTCAATAATTGTTGTGTTGTAATGGACACGGGAACGTGATTAGCGGGGGAGATGGCCATTGTTTTTCTTCAGATTTAGCGAAACGTCTGGGCCTGGGAGAGCTGAATGTCGCTAGTCAGCCTCTGTGTCAATCTCAGCCCAACTCTCTCTGCCTCAGCTCCACCGAACTACGCCGACGTGGTGTCTGAGGAGGAGTTCTCGCGGCACGTGCCTGCGTTCCCGCGCCCGGCCGGCTCCGAGGGAGACGTGTGCTGCCCGGTGTTCGCCTGCATCCAGGAGTTCAGGTTCCAGCCCCCGCCCCTCTATTCTGAGGTATGCAGAGCTGGCGGGCATTTTACTGGGAAAGTTGTGCCTCTCCTGAGCTGTGTGTAAATCAGCCTTCGTGAGTGACTACTGCTGATGGCTGGTTACTACAGTGGAGGGTGCGTCTGACACCGGTTTTACGGTGGCAAGAGATGATCAGTTGCATTCGCCACATGCTGTGGGGTTTGCCGAATGCGCTGTGGGCACATGTGTGGCGCTGGGGGTCGCCCGCAGGGTGTCTCATGAGACCAGAGACCGTGGAGCAGTGGTGGCCAGCAGGACTTCCTCGTAATAGGTTGGGGTGCGTGGCCCATAACCACCTACACGTAGACTCCAGGATCGCCTTAAAGAAGGCCCAGGCTCACCTGGCTCTGCTCTTCTCCACAGGTCGATCCGCATCCCAGTGACATAGAGGCCCGGCCTGTCTCCTTCATTCTCTGAACGTATTCCAGAAATCACTGTGTGCCCAGATGTGCTTGCTGGGCCTTTCCTCTGGCCTTTTTTGGGGGGAAGGGGAAGATGAACTCAATACAAATGAACACCGCAACGGAAGGTGTTAGCAGTGAAGGAATGTGTGTAAAGAGGGCCCACGGGGTGGTTCTGCAAGTTCATGTCATGGCACGGCCGTCTGTCCTCTCAAAAGAGACTGGAGAGGTGGAAGGTCAGTGTACTGGAGTCCCGGTGGTGATGGGGGACGCGAGGGGCCCCTGCACTGACCCGAGGGGAAGGAATCCGTGGGGGCAGAAAATACCACGTGAGTGTCTTTAAAGAGGTTTCTCAAAAAGGCACTGGAGTGTCCTGAGTGCTGAGGCAGCGTGGGCTCTCAGGGGATGCCAGGGCGCACGCGAGGGCTCTGCAGGAATCGGAAGAAGCCTGTTGGCAGGGTCCCGGGTCTCCATGGTTTCCCACCATATTCCGTAACACTGAGGTCCTTTCTTGAGATCATGGCCTCTCTGGGTCCTAATGAAGTAGCATCATTTCCACCCTTTCCGTGGCTGGGTGCTGGAATTGGCTGTGCAGTATACGAAGCCAAGAACAGTTCCTTGAGAGAGCCAAGAACAGCTCAAGGGGCAAGGATGACTTGCAATATGAAAATGCTTTTTGTTGAGGCCTCTACCTGTTATCCTTTTAAGTGCTTTAACGTGATGCATGCTTGGTTTGCCGCGTGTCTGACCTACCTACAAGCACATTAGAAAAAGAACTGGGGGGAAGGGTCGCATCCACAGGATGCCTTGATAACTACACAGGGGACTCCTGCCAGGCCTCACTGGAGTCCCTGCTAATTTGCAGCCTCATCTCATGTGTCCCCAAGTCTGCACTGGACCAAGGGACAGTGCAGTCCGAGTCTGCTCTGGACCACTGACCCATAAAGTCAGCATTAGCCAGAACCTTCTACATGTATACCAAAGGGTATTTCAAAATAAATGCGAGGTCAGAAGAGGGCAGACATTTCCATAAAAAGACATTAACCCCGTTCCTGTCATGAGACTTAGGTCGGGTGGCAGTCACTGTGTTATTCCAATTCTTCAGTAATTCTGCATAAGCTGTGATTGTTTATTGTCTTGGTGCAATATTTTATTATCATTTAACCTCAGGATATTCAGACCTACAGGATTGTTGCTGCTAAACGTCTGAGCAGTGTCTTGCCGTCCCCTCGCCTCACAGTCACACCTCCCTTGTTTTCCCTCTAATCTGTTGGTTTTGTGAGCTGAGAGCATTTCTGGACACCCAGCAGAAGGCGTGATGCCCACCCCAGATTGGAGAGCAGCTGAGTAGTTTTCACCTTGTCCTAAAGGTCTGACTCGGACACCCTGGTGCTTCCCTTGTAGAACACTGTACCTTACTCCTCAGAACGATGTGTTTTTCTTTCAATCGATATACTCAACTGGGAATAGAAAAGTTCTTCAAAGGTTAGATTTTCTCTTTGAAATGTCATGGGCCATCTGATCAGGGATGTTTCTACAGATAGAAGGTAAATGTGTGGTTTTCAGCCTTCTGGATATACCTGTCCATAATCATGTGAGCGCCATAATCATCAGCTTCAGTGTAAAATAATGTGAATTGTAAAATCACAAGCCTCGCCTTCCTTACAAGCCACTGTATAAAATGACATTGCAAAACATACACCAATAATTAAGCTACTGAAACTGTCACAAAACTTTATCCCCTGCTTCGGTTGTTAAGTGATTTTTTTGTTTGTTTTTATTTTGGGGTGTGTTCTTAAACAGATATGTGCATTCAAGTGCTGTCTAAACACATTTGCTTTTACTTCAACAAAGACCATCTTCGATTGTTTCTGGACTTCTGAGTTACAGTTTAAGCCACCTGGCCATCTCTGTGATACCAAAACAAAGTGAAAGGAGCACAATAAAGCAGCATGGAGGAGGAGATGCATGGCAGGTTCCAGTGGAAGAGCACCTGCCTCCAGGAACCCTCACGTGAAGGAGGGGTCCCCTTTACTCTGAGGCTGTGAAGTGCCCCCACAAACTTGAAGCAAAGCTGATTTTGTAGCACTGGAGAGAGGAGCTAAGGTGTGATCTGCCTTACTGAATTGATGTCAGATATCTGACTTTAAGCAGGAGGTTGAACCTGCATACCTTTTTATCATCAAGAAATTGTTTCATGAATGCAAAAGATTCTACTTTGGAGCAGAGAAATACCTGGGAATGAGATCAAAATGCAGCTGCTGTTACTTGCTTGTTTACTCCCTTGGTTTAGTTCACAAAGAAACCATTGCCTTAGAATTTTCTTTTTGATGCAAAAATCTTGAAATTGGAAATGTGCGTTGGATAGCAAAAAAAATCCTATCACAGGCAGAACGTTCCTTTTGATTTCTTTGTTTTGCACATTAAAAACACAACAGGCAGGGGTTATGTTTTCAATAAGTTAACTATGAAAACTTTTTTATTTTTATTTAAAAATGTAACCGTTTAACCCACAGGAAAAATAATGATTGTATTTTGTACTCTTGTTTGGACCCCATGGGTTCCTTTTGTTAATAAAAATATTACATCCATGCGAGAGTTGTTAGTTCTGTTTTCATATTGGATTTGTTTGTTTGTTTGGCTTGATTATGACTTAAATTGTTACAGACCTCAGGGAAATCAGTACTTTTAAAACAAAATCTTAAGTTTCGATCCTTCATCTATCAAGGCCAGCACAGCCCTGTGGATGCTGAACTTAATTTTGTAGTGGGTTCACTTCCCCCGAGGTAACAGATTTTAGCATCTTTAGTAAAAAAAAGTAGCTGAGACGAGCAGATAAGCTTAAGCCATACAGGCCTTTGAAGATTGTAGTCTTCATTTATCCTGAAATGGTAATGGCCGTTTTTTTAAAGCTTACTTTTTTTTTTTTTTTTTTGCTTTTTTTTTTGTTGTTTGTTTGTTTTTTAAATGTTTGCCCAGAAATGCCCCAGGATTCATTTAGTAGGCGTGAAGAACGTACTGGCCCCTTCCTGGAACTTGCCTAAAGTCACCCTCCCCTTTCTAGAGAAAAACTCAAATGGGTAAAAACCATTTTTGTATAGGAATATGTAATAGTAGCTATCTAAGGAAAACTGTCTGGATCCTCAGTCCTAGAAAATAATAAAACTTAGCAAAGTGCTTAAAAAAAATCTCCACGTGTTTATTATGTGTAAATTAAATAGGCCTTTTCTGCTCCCCTACTTGCCATCAACAGAAACTGAGATTATCCCATGCAATGTTGAGACAAAATATATAATATTGCAGTTAAAGCTTCTATAGTTTAAGAAAGTTATAAATTATAAAATCTAGGAAGCACATGCAAAGAATCTAGGAGAAAGCCCTCGGATTACAAATGAGCGTACCAAAGACCCAGAGGTGTAACCTGAAGGTTTGGCCTACATTCTCTGAGAGCTAGAAGTTACAGAAAACAGTGATTGCTTAAAATGACACAGCTGACGACTGGCAGGGCTGGCGACGCAGTGTGTGCTAAATCAAGAGCATTCAGTGCCTACAGCCTCCTGAAAGAGCACCAGATTTGGACTAAATTGCCTCCTCACCATCTTTAATTAGTATTTGGAATGCTCTCTTCATCGAGGCATTTGTCTCTGACTATGTTTTGAAATAATCATAGACTCCCAGAAGATGTAATAATAGCGCAGAAAGATCCTGCATACCCAGCGCCCTCTATCCCGCAAAAGCACCATCTTATGTAACTAGGACATTATCAAAATCAAGAAGTTGGCGTCGCCACTATACCCACAATTAAGTGGAGTTAAGGCCTTACTTGGACTGCGCCAGTCTCTGAATACACTCATTGTTCTTGTGTATGTTGAGCATAGTTCTCGAACATTTTATTACCTGTCTAGGTTTGTATCGCCACCACAATCAAGGCACAGCTGCACCGTCACAATAAATCTAACCCGGGTCTGCTCCTCTACACCCACACTGTCCCTTTCCCCCGCCCGGTCCAGTCCAGTCGGGTCTGTCCAGCATCTCTATAAAATTTTGTCACTTTGGAAATTCAAGACAATGGGATGGTTCCGTGTGTGCCTTTGGCAATTAGCTTTTTCACTAGGCATAACACCCTTGAGATGGACAAGTTGCATGTATCAGTATTTTGTCCCTTTATGTTTTTTTTTTTTTGTATTTTTTTAACATTTTATTTATTTATGCCTACAGAACTGGGGTACAGGGCAGAGGCTCAGGGGTGGCAAGAGGCTTCACCAGAGACAGAGTGGGGAGCAGAACAGGCAGATCGACAAAGTACACTGCTGAGGGGAGCAGTGGGCAGGTCAGGAGAGGTCTGCCACGCCAGATGGGTCACCTCCGGGGCAGGCGGGGATAGAACTCATGCGGAAGTGGCTTTAGCTTCTCGGTGCTGTGCTTTAACCTGCTCTGCCACTAGGGAGGGCCTAATTGTATTTTTTTAAACATTCTTCTGTATCTCTCTCTCTCTCTTTTTTAATTTGGTTTTACATCATTCTTCATTTTGTGCCTTTTTCCATCTTGGTTGTAATCCCTGAGGGCTTCCCACCACCACTTCACCAGTGTGCCATCACCATAGTCCCATGCACCTTTCCTACCCCAGTTTTGTTTGTATTCCCCACTGTCCCTTTATGTTTTAACTGAGGCATTTTGAAAGAAAGGAAGCTGGTTATTGCTTAAAATTCCATTAAACAATTTGCAAAGTATGTAAAATTTATGCACATGTGACATCATGTAAATATTTCAGGTTTTGCATTTGAGAACTACCTGTTATGTAAATATGTAAAATGCAATTTTACATAAAGTTGTAGGGTCTCACTTTGAGCTCGCTAAAATACTTGAAGTATTTTGCTTTTTTTACATAGCAAGTTACTACACTATGAATGAGCAAGATACACCTGATGAAATTATGCTACAAGAGAAACTATCTGGGGTTATTGATCCTCAGTTTCTGAATCTTACCAATTTTAAAATAAAATTACATAGAAAAGAAACTACATTTACCCTGTACATTAATTTTTTGTTAGCTTTTTTCCTTTATCTTTTAATTCCCTCCTTTCAGCCCTTTTTCTTAATCTCTTGATATGAAAAGGTCAGAAGCTGAACAAAGTTTTTAACTAGGAAACACATTTTTAAAGAAGCAATATTAGAAAACATAGGTTTGTTAGGCCATTCACTTTTTCTAGGTAGGAGAACACATGTCATAGAAGCCATGATATACACACCTTGCTTTTCCCTAAAACAAGGAGTCTGCCAGAACCCAACAAACACACAGGGAAAGGACTGAGAACGTAAACGTGATTAGTGCCACTACAACGGAATGTACTAGAATGTCACTACAACGGAATTCACCAGGAACTGTTCTGCTGCAATTGTTTCTATGTTCACAAATACAACATTTCTTCCCTGCTTATATCTTAGAAAAAGTTAGACATCTTGGGTGGACAGGAAGAGACATGTTTTAGGCAGCATCTTGCAGTGAAAACATAGATGTTTCCTTCTTACCTTTGCAACTCTCTCCTCCCCATTTGCATGCACACACATGTGCACACATACACATCATTGCCTCTTAGCCCTTCATCCACACATTTTATCTTCAGAACTGTCTATTCAGGTCAGAACGTAAAACAACTGCAAAAGGTGGAAACCGGCCTTGGATTTATATGCTGCAGGAATTTCCTGGAAATATTTTCTGCCAGCATTTTAACTATCCTCAACTAGACGGAAGAAGAGTAATACTATCAGGGCAATGTTATTAAGTGAGTAAACTGAAAGTAAATCTTCCAGGAATTTATCTTTTTCTTTTACTAGGCGCACTGCAAAGTATAGCAGCCATTCCCCCTGCTACCAGCCCCATCTCCACAGAATGACTGAGGACAAAACAAAATAACAGCACAATTCAGTGTTTACCTTGTTCTTCATGGATACAAACTCATGTTACCATGACATGAATATGTTCATAATTTTATTTTATCTTTTAACTGTAGATGTCAGAATCCATCTGTGATTCTCATTCAATATATGAGAGCTTCTTTGCAGTATAGCTAATACTACAAAGATTCAGGCTTGCCTGGACTGGTTGACTGAATTAATTCAGGTAAAGTATAAAGGCTTATGGCCTACAGATCATTAGGGTATACTTCAAAATAACAGCTACGCGTGTGTACTAAGCATACACCCAGACACTCTCCTTATTAACTGGGGAAGTCCGCCCACAGGCAAGAGAACTGGGGAAACCACTTTGTTTATCTTCAAGGAAGATCAAGAGGGCACATTATCATCACCAACTGATTCCGTTGCTAGAACACAAAAGCGGAACCTAACTTTTGGGTGGCTGATAGACTTGCCAACAAGTAAAAGATAACAGATGAAAAAGCTGTCAACAAAACAATTCTGTATTTCACAATCACTACTCTCACTGCAACAGGAAGTTGAAAGCAAAACCCTAAAGTTACACCATAATAGATAATTCCATAATTAAGAAGGCTGCAGGGGCGCACGGAAGACGCAGAAGAAGTTATACCAAATAGTCATTATTTGAAAGCTTGGCTACAGGTCAGTTTTAAAAGTTTCAAAAGAGTCGAGATTATGGAAAAGCAGTTAGGAACCCAAGCACTTTTACAAGTTTTTTTTTCCTCCTGCCCAAATTAAAACAATCAAAACAGAGTATGTGTAGGTGTCTATATAGGAGGAATATAATACTAAGTGAAAGTCTTTTCTTCCTTAGAAGAGGAGAAAGTCAGAGAATTCTAGTAAACATCTTAAGAGAACCTATTTCTTCAAAGGATTAAAAACAAATCTCAGTGTTTGTTATTCTATCCTTATTTCAACGGCTGGCCTCTTTCAATAAATGCTTAGTACCAAGGGAAACATCTACTCTTTAAATCTTATATGACAGAACAAAAGCCTAGGTAAAAATATAAAAGGATAACTTATCTCAAACATATATGATTGCACAGGCTAAAAGCTATTTCTCTAAAACAATATCAGGATTACAGCAAATGTGATGTATATACACCATGGAATACAATGCAGCAATAAAAAAGGTAAACTCACCATTTGTGGCAACATGGATGGAACTGGAGAAGACAATGCTAAAGGATGAAAGAGAAAGACAAATATTAAATGATTTCATTTGTATGAACATAGAAGAACAAAATAAAGGGCCAAACAAACCAAACCAAGAACAACATCTAGAAATCTCTCTGTAGAATTAAGGCTACCAGAGGGGACGGGGAATGTGAAAAGCAAACGGTACAACAAAGAGCCCAATGGGCTGTGGTGGAGGAGTTGGTGGTGGGTGTGGGGTGCTGTACCCTGTAGTCTCTGGAAATGTGCAATCTTATACCTTTGAATCATAGACATTTCTGTAAATCAAAGTTCCCTCGATTTTTCTAAAAACTGCAAATAACTGCATGACACTTGAAGCCCTTTTCAAATAGCCAGTTATAGAATCAGGCTTCAAAAAATAAAAGTGATTTCCATTGTCTATAGGAGAGTTTTAAATGGCATCTGGTCTGAACAGGGAGATTTCCAGTGGTCTGAGGACTTGCTTTCTATCGCAGTACA